AAAAAAAAAAAAAAAAAAAAAAGAAAAGAAAAGAAAAGAAAGAGAAAAACTACCTGTTGGTTACTATGCTCGTTTCCTGTGTGACGGTTTTATTCATACTGCAAGCCTCAGCACTATACAATATACCTTTGTATATTGTACCCCTTGAGTCTAAATTTTTTTTTAAAGTCAGGTTAGTGATAATTTTTTATTTGTAACTTTTCTAATTTTTAATTTTCAATTTTGCTAAATTCAAAAGTACAACCACTTTCGAGCAAATAGCACACAATGTTAACAACGATAACTCCAGGTGAGGGTTACAGGGGGTTCACTGTTATATATAAATATATGTGTGCAATTTTTTTTTTATATGGAGTCTCTCTCTGTCACCCAGGCTGGAGTACAGTGGTGCGATCTCGGCTCACTGCAACCTCTGCCTCCCGGATTCAAGCGATTCTCCTGCCTCAGCCTCCTGAGTAGCTGGGATTACAGGCACGTGCCACCACACCCAGCTAATTTTTGTATTTTTAATAGAGTTAGGGTTTTACCATGTTGGCCAGGCTGGTCCTGAATTCCTGACCTTGGGTGATCCACCTGCCTCAGCCTCCCAAAGTGCTGGGATTACAGGCATGAGCCACCACACCCAGCTAGAGTTCACTTTTTTAACCTTATTGTTTTAACTTCCCTGTAGATTTGCAAATTTTCAAAAGAAAAAAAGGCGTGGGCATAGTGGCTCACGCCTGGAATCCAGCATTTTGGGAGACAGAAGTGGATGGATCGTTTGAGCCTAGGAATTCAAGACCAGCCTGGACAACACAGCGAACCCCTATCTCTACAAAAAGTTTAAAAATTAGCTGGGTGTGGTGGTGGGTACCTGAAGTCCCAGCTACTTGGGAGGCTGAGGCAAGAGGAATTCTTGAGCCCAGGATCTCAAGGCTACAGTGAGCAATGATTACACCACCGTGCTCTAGCCTTGGTAAAAGAGTTAGACTTTGTCTCAAAAAAAAAAAAAAAAGAAAGAAAAGAAAAGAAACAGGACTTTGATGGCAAATATGGACATAATCAAGTCTCAAGTGTAGCGGATTTTTCTCACAGGAGAGGCTAGGAGGGGATGGCTAAGAAGCGGCATGGTGTCTGCAGCTGCTCAGAGCGTCCAGTAGAGGGAAGCAGAGTCCAGGCTCTGTCTCATGTTAGGTTTTGAAGCGGGTGGCCCATGGGAGGGACCTTCAAGAATACAATGAGTCCTGAGCGGCATGGCTGGAATAATAATAATTTTTAAAAAGCATCCTAGGAATATTAAGAAGGACAGCGACGAAAGAGCCTTTAGAAACAAACTTGTCCTTATTCAGCAGAAGGCAAGACTGAGTCCAAATAGATTTTTCCCAGATTTAACCTAAGGAGTTCATGAGAAAGCTGGAAATGGAACCTAGGTGTCTTTAGATGCATGGAAAGAAATAGCCGATTTTCAGAAGGAGAGCTTGGAAAATTTGGTTTTCTTTTTCTTTTTCTTTTTTGAGACGGAGTTTTGCCCTTATTGCCCAGGCTGGAGTGCAGTGGCACAATCTTGGCTCACTGCAACCTCCATTTCCTGTGTTCAAGCAATTCTCCTGCCTCAACCTCCCGAATAGCTGAGATTCCAGGCATGTGCCACCACACCCAGCTAATTTTGTATTTTTAGTAGAGACGGGGTTTTTCCATGTTGGCCAGACTGGTCTCAAACTCCTGACCTCAGGTGATCAGCCCACCTGAGCCTCCCAAAGTGCTGGGATTACAGATGTGAGCCACCGCACCCGGCTGGAAAACGTGGTTTTCTTTGGTAGCAAGTGAGTCCCTGCCTCTCGTGTGTGTGTGTGTGTGTATGTGTGTCTGTCTGTCTGCCTTGCCTCCTGGACACCAGCAAATGGTGCCAGTGGAGTTCAGGAAATAGTCTTCATTCCACTGCAATTCTCCCTCTTGTTATCTGGAAGCCCAAGCACATCAGACTTTATGTCGTGAAGGAGAGGAGGAGAGAGTCTGGGAGGATAGAAACAGAAGCTATGGGAAACAGGAGGAAAAGATTCTGGAAGCCATGAAAATTATAATAAAGTTGATTTATTATTTTTAGCTTCTACAAATATATAGTATAATATTTACTAAGGAAAAAATCAGAACTCATAAAAATAAGAACTTTAAAAAATACCTATACTCTTATATACTAAAGGCAAATGCTATATATTTAAACATAAGTTTTTTTTCATGAGACAATATGCAGTAATTCTTACGAGAGCATTTTTTGAAATGTAAAATGCAGTCCGGTGTCGAAGGGGTCACAGTTGAGAACCGCGCGACGAGGGCGCTGTCCGTGGTGCTGAACCCGTGCAGACGCGAGGAGGAACTTCTCTGAGCTTGTTTGGAAGTTCTAGCAGGGAAGTCCATCCAGATACGTGTACGCCTTTGACAGAAGAATGGTCCTCCTCTATCAGAGAGGGTCGTCCTCTCATCCTCTTCAACTGAGCGTGCAGCATTAGGAGGGACACAAATGGAGCAGCGAGGAAGAAAGGGGACACCTATCTACCCAGCCAGATCAGCCAAATCAATCTTGGCGATCAATGGGGTGACCTATGTTACAGCCATATCACCCTCAAATCTGGAACCTCTTTGAAAAATGAGCATGAAAGCCTAGCCTGATATCATGACAAGCCCGTTGGAGCTTCCGTGGTTTTCTATTTAAGAATCTCCCACCACTCCTGTCTCTCTCCTCTTTCTCCTTGATAAGTACAGGGCTTGTTTCAACTGAGTTCCCATGGAAGTCCCCTTATGGGCAAATGTTCCACCAAGCTTGGCTGGACTGCAATATCCTTACTCCCGGACTTGTCAGCTTCATGCCTTAAAGTGATGTCATCGTCACCTGAGGCCTCTGAATTCGGATCTGAAAAGAGAGATAAAACCAGGTGAGGGCTTGGCGCATGAGGAATTTGGGATTTTGGAAACATAAAAAGGCTTGGGATGGGATGTATTCGGTTTAATTATTTTAATTATTTTTATTTTTTTGAGACATGGTCTTACTCTGCCATCCAGGCTGGAGTGCAGTGGCACAATCATGGCTCACTGCAGCCTCTAACTTCTGGGCTCAAATGATCCTCCCAGCTCAGCCTCCCCAGTAGCTGGGACTCCATGTTCACACCACGACACCTGGATAATTTTTAAATTTTTCGTGGAGATGAGGTTTTACCATGTTACCCAGGGTGGTCTCAAACTCCTGGGCTCAAGTGATCCATCCAAAGTGCTGGGAGCTACCGTGCCTGGCTATTAGTATTATTTTTTTATGCAGAGACAGAGTCTCACTTTCCTGCTCAGGCTCCCAAACTCCTGACATCAAGTGATCTTCCTGCCCTGGCCTCCCGAAGTGCTGGGATTACAGGCATGAGCCACTGCATCTGACCTAAGTGGTTGGTTTAGAACTCATCCTATGACCTGGATTCTAGCACAAACCAATTTTGTCTTCCTCTCCCTGCCAGGTAGGTTTGCAGGTATCCTGGCTGGAGATTTCATCTTTGCCCCAAAGGGCTGTGTCAAGGGAGCATAGCACCCAAAGCCGTTCACACCTGGTATTTCTCCTCCCCTCAAATATCCATCCAGTTTAAATAATATTAAGGCAATGATCATCAAGGAGTGGTCACCTTTTGCCCATGTGACCAATCTTGGCTTTAATCATGGGGGAACAACCTGATGTTACATACGTGTTGAAGTGAGGCAATAGCAATATCTATGACATAACAAAAATGTTTAATCTGATTTCATTTAAGCCTCTAGACCCAACCTCCAGTATTTCCAAAACTAGAATACTGCTAATACCTCTGATACCTCTGATATTAAGGATGGGGGACAAGTTAGATGACACCATGAAACAAATCGGGAGCGTGAGACTTTTTTTTTTTTTTTTTTTTTTTTTTGAGACGGAGTTTCACTCATGTTACCCAGGCTGGAGTGCAATGGCGCGATCTCGGCTCACCGCAACCTCTGCCTCCTGGGTTCATGCAATTCTCCTGCCTCAGCCTCCTGAGTAGCTGGGATTACAGGCACGCACCACCATGCCCAGCTAATTTTTTGTATTTTTAGTAGAGATGGGATTTCACCATGTTGACCAGGATGGTCTTGATCTCTTGACCTCGTGATCCACCTGCCTCGGCCTCCCAAAGTGCTGGGATTACAGGCTTCAGCCACCGCGCCTGGCCCTTTTTTTTGTTTGTTTTTGGAGACACAGTCTCCCTCTGTTGCCCAGGCTGGAGTGCAGTGGCACCATCTCAGCTCACCACAACCTCTGCCCCCTGGGTTCAAGCGATTCTCCTGCATTAGCCTCCTGAGTAGCTGGGACTACAGGCACATGCCATCATACCCAGCTAATTTTTGTATTTTTAGTAGAGAGGTTTTCACTTTGTTGGCCAGGCTGGTCTCAAACTCCTGACCCTGTGATCTGCCCACCTCAGCCTCCCAAAGTGCTGGGATTACAAGCATGAGCCACAGGGCCTGGCTGAGATATTTTTCAAGACAACTATCCTAGACTCTTAAAAAATCAATCTATTTAAAAATGTAGGAGCCCATTCTAAATCCAAAATACCAAAGGGACATAACAGAAGCCAGTATGTGAAATCTGTTGTATCCACTTCTGAGAAAAATAAAACTAGTAATAAAAGATGTCCTTGGGCTAATTGGGAAAACTGGCTATCAGATGATATTGTGGAGTTATTATCAATGTATTGGATATAATCATGGTATTAAGAAGTGCATGCTGAAATGGTAAGGGATCAAGTGTCATAATGTTGGCAGCTGACTTCCAAATTACTCAGCAAAAATTAGTAAAGAGATCAATACAAAGAAAGAAACATATGACATGTTAAGTCTTGTGGCACTAGATGGAATATGTAAGTATTTACTGCACTACTATTTTGACTTTTATGTGTGTTTATAAGTTGAAATAACAAATAAGTTGGCCATCAAGAATGTACTTAGAGTAGGGAAGGAAATCTTAGAACCTGAAGCCTCAGAAGTCAAGGGAAGTTGATCCCACCTTGCTACTTGGCTCTTATTCTCCCCCTGAGTTAGGCTTGTTTCCTGGCAGAATGGACCTGGGAGGATTACCTGGACCAATAAACTGTAAACATGGCTTTGTTTCCCTGAAGGTCCTACCATGTAGGAAAGGAGAAGAAAGCCACAAGGTTGGGAGAGGCCAACATCCCATCCAGGCCCTTCTTACCTTTGTTTCAGGGTCTATGTGGCCCAGGGAGGGCTGGAAATTACTGTAGATGGAGTCCAGGTGGATGGAATCATTTTCTTCTAGAGAGATGAAAAACCCCATGGAAACAGGAGGTTAGAAGGACGAACTTTCATCTCTCCCTTTAATCCCATTCAATGGAGGTTAAGGGAGTTTGTCCCCACCCTTAGGAAACTGAAAACCATTGAAAATGTGACAAACTATCAACATTACCTGACTCAGAAGCTTTGTAATACAGGCATATTAAGGCTATGAATTTTCTTCTGAGTACAGCTATAGCTGCATCCCACAAGTCTTGATACTAAGTACTTTCTCACTTTAACTATAATCTCTTATCTGATTCATACATTATTAAGAAACTTAAAAAATTTTTCCAAAGATATGGGAGATTGTACTAATTGAGCATACAAATTAGACTTGTGTCTAACAGAGTAAGCCATTTCCTAATATTGAACATTTTTGTCTCTAGTAATTCTCTTTGCTTTAAAGATCATGTGCCTGCAATGAGTATAGCCATACACAAAACAACAGATACTTTGTTTACCGTTACCCTGTTTTGTATTTTTGTATTTTCCACACTTTTGTTTCCAAGCTTTGTGTTTCTATTTCATATGTGCCTCTCATCCACAGCAGATACCTAGATTTTTTAAAAATTCCTTTTTTAACTAAAGTTTAATCTACTTATATGTATTATGATTCATGATATATTTGCATTACTTCCTATCATTTTGTTTTGTGTTTTCTATCTGTCCTGTCTTTTCTCCTTCTCCTTCTCCTTCTAAAAGAAGACGGAATCTTGCTCCATCACCCAGGCTGGAGTTTCAGCTCACTGCAGCCTTCACCTCCCGGGTTCCAGCAATTCTCCTGCCTCAGCCTCCTGAGTAGCCGGGATTGCAGGTGCCTGCCACCATGCCCAGCTAATTTTTTGCATTTTTAATAGGGATAGGATTTCACCATATGGTCCAGGCTGGACTCATCCTGACCTCAAGTGATCCACCTGCCTCAGCCTCTTTTTTTTAATTTTTATTTTTTATTTTTTTTTTTTAAGAGATAGGGTTTTGCTGTGTTGTTGCCCAGGCTGATCTCAAGCTCCTGGCCTCAAGCAATCCTCCTGCCTTGGCCTCTCAAAGTGCTGGGATTATAGGCGTGAGCCCACTGCACCCAGCCTGTTTCCACATTTTGAGCCATTGAGTTCAGAGAGGAAGGCCAATACCTTGGGAGATGTCAAAGCCAATGTTTTGGAATGTTCCAGGAGCTGGTTCACCTTTCTCTTCTTGCCACTTGTACAGCTGAGACAATTTGGACTTTTGCCTATGAATGGAAACACCAGAGAGACCCTGTTAGCGTTGGGGAACAGGAACAAGGACCAGGAACAAGCTGTATCCCCATTTTTAGCTCCCCCACTGTCCACCTCGAGGATGAAGTGATTACAGGCAGAAGGATCAGAGGAGGAGGAGGAGCTGGAGGGAGCTGGAAGAGGAGGTGGTAGGGCCTCACTCACCGTTTCACCTCTCTCCTGGAGCGGAAAGTGAGTATCAGGAGAGCTATCAGGATGATCAGCACCAGCACGCACCCTGCCCCCACAAGCCAGTACACCAGACTCTTCTGGATGCCCTGGTCACAGGCTTCCCCTCTGTACCAGTGAGTTTCCGTGGTCACGCAGCTGAGATGGAGAGAGAACAGAGTCAGCACCAGCTTCAGACCTGGGCCCTGCCCCTTGGATGTTTAACGAGGAGGAGGTGAGAAGAGATTGGCAGGGGGCCTAAAGCAAGGCACCCTGCGGGGGTGAACATAGATGAAGACCAGCGTCCCTGGAGCTGGTCCTCAAATGAGCTCAATTCCCACTCCAGGCTTTTAGGTTTTCTCCCAGTTGCAACCCAGAACCTAGGACAGTTGGCCCAACCTGGGTCTTCCCTGGGCTGCACCCCCAGGGACTCCAGGACCCCACAGTGACTTTTGCACCCACCCATTAACCACCTCACTTTCAGCCCTCCTCTATGTCAGGAAAGCCAGGCTGCAGACTGATCCAAAGCTTCTGTTATACCCCTGAAGCTCTTCCTCCCGGCTACCTGGAGATGCTTCTCTAAGCCCTGTTCCTTTCTTCCCCTTTCCGGCTTGTGACTGCCTTTTCCAGGAAGCCTTCCCAAACTAACAACTCAGGTCTTTGCATACATGCGGCTTCTTCCTGCACTGGACGCTCCAGCTGGTCTCTCTCTTTGGTTCTGTTTCAAGTAGCAGTGTTTTTCTGAACTTTCCTGCCTCTGTGACTAGGCTTTAGCACTTCTCCCCACTCCCCGTATGGATGTGTGGCCTTCTGTTTCTATTCCACCAGCAGAGGATCTTACTCTCCCTCTGGAAGCAAGGCTCTCTCTCTGTTCCCCTGTCGGACAACCTTTCCAGGAGGCTGTCACTGTCCTCAGCCCTCCTCAGCACAGAGAGGACGCGGGGGAGGGCTGGGGCTGTTATGGACACAGGCTTGGGGCTCAGCTACTCGTGTCTTTCCCCACCCCCAACCCAATTCCTCTGCAGCTGGACACATTCAGGAGAGGCTGGGACCTAGTCCCAAGACCTTGGCCTCTAGGCAGTGCCTGGGGAGAAGCCCTGCAGGGGATGGGGAGGACCAGGACGTCTGGGCTGGTCTAGAAGAGATGGGGAAGCACTCACTAGCACCGGGGGCCACTTCGAAGCAACTGGCACTTGCCGAAGTTACAGTTCTTGGAGGCCTTGTAGCCGGACTCGCAGGGGCTGATGCATTTTGGTTGCTGGTCCTGGTATTCCACTAGGAAGTAGTCTTCATAGTCCGGCCCGGCTGCCTTCCGGCATTCAGCTGGTGGGGGTGCGGGGACAGGGAGCAGCGTGACCAGGGTGCTGGGGGGCACTGCCTTGCTCCTCCTGGGCTCCCCCATCTCCAGCCTTCCCCCAAACCCCTTGTGTTATCACCCACCTTCAGCGTCGTACTGGGCCATCGTGATGTTTTGCACCTGGGTACCACTGGTGTTGTAACACAGCAAGGCTGTGAAGGAGACACATAAAACCCCTCATGACACACACATGCTTGTTTTGCATCCTCAGGGAGCTGAGGGGTATGTGTGTGTGTGTGTGTGTGTGTGTAGGGGGTGGGTGGCTATGGGGAGGTGGGAACCTGGCCCCTGCAGAGGCCAGCATCAGCCTCACATCTGGTGACCCTCCAAGTGTCCTGAGCCCCCCTGTGCCCTTTTGGTCCCAAACCTCCATTTTCTTTCCTTCCTTCCTCCCTCTTTTCCTTCCTTCCTTCCTTTCTTTTTTCTTTCTTTCTTTTCTCTCTCTCTCTCTTTCTTTCTTTTTGAGACAGAGTCTCGCTCGGTCACCAGGCTGGAGTGCAGTGATGCAATTTCAGTTTCCTGCAACCTCCGCCTTCCAGGTTCAAGTGATTCTCCTGCCTCAGCCTCCCAAATAGCTGGGGCTACAGGCATGCACCACCATGCCCGGCTAGTTTTTTGTTTTTTTGGTTTTTTCGAGATGAAGTCTCACTCTGTCACCCAGGCTGGAGTGCAGTGGTGTGATCTCGGCTCATGGCAACCTCCACCTCCTAGTTCAAACAATTCTCCTTCCTCAGCCTCCTGAGTAGCTGGGATTACAGGCGCGTGCCACCACACCCAGCTAATTTTTGTATTTTTAGTATAGACAGGGTTTCACCATGTTGGTCAGGCTGGTCTCAAATTCCTGACCTTGTGATCCACCTGCCTTGGCCTCCCAAAGTGCTGGGATTACAGGCGTGAGACACCATGCCTGACCTTTTGGCCTTTTTGTTTTTTTTGAGACTGAGTCTTGCTCTGTCACCCAAGCTAAAGTGCAGTGGTGCAATCTCAGCTCACTACAACCTCTGCTTCCTGGGTACAAGGAATTCTCCTGCCGTAGCCTCCTAAGTAGCTGCGACTACAGGTACCCACCATCATGTCCGGCTAATTTTATATTTTTAGTAGAGACAAGGTTTCACCATGTTGACCAAGCTGGCTTCAAACTCCTGGCCTCAAGTGATCTGCCTGCCTCAGCCTCCCACAGAGCTGGGATTACAGGCGGGAGCCACCACAGCTGCCCAATGCCACCTTCTCCCCTCTTCTGCCATGATCCACACACTTAGACGAACCCCTGTGTAACAGAGCCCATTGGTCCCCATTTCCAGCAGACGCTCCTGTCCTGTACGCCTTAGTCCTGGTGCCCTGGATGACCTGGCCTGTTTATATGTCTGCCCTTGCAGGCTCTGGGATGAATTCCTCGGTATCTCCACATTCTACTCTCTCTGTCTGCCTTTGTCCCTTCCCCTACCCCAGGGACAACATGGGCCAGAGGATGACAAAGGTGAAAGGCTCTCTTGGCCCAATCCTGGGGCTTCCTTGAGCTGCACCCCCAGGGACTCTAGGACCCCACAGTGACTCTTGCACCCGCCTGTTAGCCATCCTTACTCTGAGCCCTCCTCTCTACTAAGAAAGTCATGCCCCAGCCCTGATGCCCTCTCCCTTCCCTCCCTCCCTGGAAGCCCAGGAGTTTACCTGTGCAATTTTCATTAATCATTATTTGCTCCTCAGTCACTTTGGTGATTTTTTCTTTCACAACCCTGCTGGCATTGTTCAACACTGTCTCGAATTCTGGTGTGTACTTGGTTCTTAGGAGGACCTCATGCTCCACCACCACACTGCCATGCCTGAGGAGGGAGGGGAAGACGTCCTCAGGTAAGAACCGGTGCTTATCTCTCAAATCCTGTCCCAGGCAGCCTTC